GAGCCACAGAAAAAATCGACTGCAAATCTGATCATATAATTTGATATAAAATCCGAAATCGAAAACTTTATCTAATACATGCCCTGACGAGACGACTACCTTAACATATTCTAGTTGTAAAATATTTTCCATCTTTTTCTAATTTCTGTATCTCAAAATTAAAGTTTTTTATAAATTTTAAGTGATTTATGTATATTTAAAATTAGTTGTAAATGTTCAATAAATGATCTAATTCTAATTGAACAACGATGTATCAATTTTAATGAATTCTATTTCATATGCTCCCTCTATGCAGCGTTGGTACGTACATACAATAATTCGACGAATAATAATAATTACTCCAGGATTAAAAATTACTGCTCTGCTCTGGCCTATCCATATTTTAAAAGACAACAAATTTATGTGATATACTTATCTATAATATTCTTATACACTTAACTGATAATTGTATTTTTTAAAATATATTGATAACCAAGGAATAAATGCATTCAGATATTAAGAAGTTTGTGGATATTTTACTACTGTATCTATCATTGTTGCGAAATGGAATTTTTATATATTAATAATTGCTAAGAAAAAAATACAGTTTACTATCTCCGGTCTTTTTTCATATCATATTCATATTTATATCTTATTTATGTTTCGAATAATTTTTATAAATTTGTTACCTTTACATTAAGATAGGATATACATAATTATATGCACTTACCGCTGCGATGCGCAGTTAATAGAATTGTATACAACATCGACCTGTAAAATATAAATATATTTAAATTAATGTTTAAAATAATATTTCAAATTTCAATATTTTAAAAAATAATTATTACATCACTATTATTAACTTCTTATTCTTAATTCTCTTTTACTCTTTTCATAAATTCTTAATTATTTGTAGTCTTCTAGCTTTTTAATTAAATATTTTGTATAAAAAATTACGTAACTCTACATAAGAAATCTTTTCATATAAAAAAATTTAAAAAAATTTGATAAATAGAATCTTTAATTCTTGTGCATTTATAATTTAAATAATTATATAACTTTTTAAACGTTGTAAAATATTACAATGTTTTAATAAAATATTTTAAAACTTATTCTATCGCATATAAAATATTATCTATTTGTTACATTTAAAAAAGTTTTAAAATATTTTATTAAATCTTTTAAGACTTAAATGTAACAAATATATAATATTTTATATGCTATATAATGTCTTACATCCTGCAACTGATGCATGGAATACTTTATTACAATCGCGAGGTTCTCGTGGGAAAACCGTGGGGAAAACCATTCAAGTCCACAAGTAAATAATATAATAATATAATATAAATAATATAATAAATAACAAATTGCTCACCTCGTGCTTGCTTCGCTGACGCTCGATGCCTCTGCGGGGCCTTCTCCTTCTCCTCCCTCGGCCCTCCGCGGCCGTTTCAAGGCGCTCACTCAAGACTCGCTGGAACACATTTAAGTATTATGCGATTGCACGAACTGTATACGGCACTCTCAACGTCAATCATTCGCACGACTCAAACTTTATTACGTTCGGAAAAATAATTCGCCTAACACTCGTGACGTTCCGCGACGGATACAGTATACCTAGAAATCGCGAAGAAGAACTCGCGTGAATTACTTACACAGTCAACTTTACACGCCTAGGAGCAACTACCGCCCGCGCCGTCGCGTCGTCCGCGCTGCGCCATGGCGATGTTACACCTGTTGCTCCAAACCGACTGCCCGCCGATCGTTCCATTTTCGGCGGTATTTATCAGGTTGTAGTCGCGTGCCGTTGCTAACTGAGGTAGCTAACTGAGGTAGCTAACCTTACGCGGTCAGTGCCTTGCGCTGACCTTTGCGTCAGCGTTTTTGGTTGTCCCGGAGTTGAACGCTCCGGGTTCCCGTGTCGGATTGCATCGGATGATCGGTCGTCCAATGCAATTGTCAGATTTTTCGGCGGATGTCAGATTCGACTTTTGTCGTTAGGGTCGGATTACCAACTAATCCGGCCCACGGTGTTGCCAAGTAATTAATCCTTAATACGTTGTGCGCTCACAACAGGATATATATAATTAAGAAACAGAACATTCGATAAACGTTTTAATTATGATAACGTTTAGAATGTTATAATTGTGTACATTACTAAATTGTTGAACAAAAATTTTATTTTTTTGGTATGATTAAAATTTTACTACTAAAACACTATTACATTGTATGATATAAGCAAATGGAATAATTACTCATTAACGACGCTTCTGTGTTCTCTTCGCTATTAAGCGATACCTGCAGTTCGGAAGTAATGTCTGACTTAATTGTTCTAACACAACGGGATCAAGTCTTTTTATCTATTATAAACGTAATATACAATTCAGAAATTTCCCAGGTAGCAAGCACTCGTCATTTTGACGTCAATATTTGGTCAT